TTGCGGCCCGTCAGACATACAGACAGTCAGACAGACAGACAGACAGATAGTGGATGAATGGTTATGACCGCAATCGTCCAATCCTTGACAGGACATCCGCGGGCCTCAGTTCCAGCCAATTGGCAACATCAAAGTCTGGCCCCGCAAATTTATGTTGCGCCTTTTGTTTTGTTTGTATATTCAGTTTTGTGTTACAGGTGATTGCATTTGCTTTTCGTTCTCGTTCTCATTCGGGTTTTCGTATTTTTTTTCTATTTTGTTTTGTGTTTGTTTAGGCAATAACATTTCGACTTGTGGGCAGGGCGCCCAAGAAGGCTTGCCGGCTGTGGAGGGAAAAGAGTTCCTCGATTTTGCAACGGAAATCATTTTTCATTGGCCTGGATGGAATTTTTAAGTAAATATTTATTAGAAATATTACGGCTAATGGGTGAGCGAAGTTCTAATTTAATGCAATCGATAATAAACTGAAAATAAAGAAAATTTTGGTTTAAATGCTGACTATGAAAAGTTGTGTCCAAGGCAAAAAGCTGTGCTTGAGAGCAGATTGCATGTAACAATAAAATCAAATAAAATAATATTATAAATAGTGTCAATATAGAGTCAGCTTCGAGTAAAGGGAACAAAGTGACCATGGAGCACATAGAGCAGAGGCAATACAATGCGATGAACTAACATTAATTGAAAATTCAATTGATTGACCATGGAAAAAAGTTGGCTATCATTTTAGATAAATTGGTAGAATAAGTATGTAAGCAGCTAAAACTGCACTAAGGTGAACGTAAATCGACAAATCGATAATAGCTACACTCGTTTTTGGTAATCGACACGCTCAGCTAAAGGAAACTTCAATTTATTTAAGCCAAGCTAAATATAGTGCACTGCATCGGGTTCAATTTCTCGTGTAAATTGGCTTCTGGCAGCAATTGAAATTATATGAAGAGCGAAAGGTACATAAATATAACAAAATGAAGTAACAAAATGATTTCCTCAGGCCACAAAAACACGAACACACACAAACAGCTACAGCTACCAACACCGCCACAGAGCAATAAATTGCGAGCTGCAATGTGTTTATATATTGCCGCTGTTAGCTATTACGTATACGCCCAGTTTGCAGCTTGGTTAAAAAAAAAAGTAAGTTAACTTGATTGATGCGAAAACCTTTACCAAATGTCAATCGAACATAATTGAGTTTAGCAAAAAAAAAGCAGTAATAAATAGAACGTGATATGCAAGCGTGTGGGGTGAGAGAGCTTAAACTGCAAAGAGAACTGTCAGAGTGTTGCCACATTTAACACCCGCCACACGGTGCAACTGCTGCAGCTTAAAGTCACTCAGAAATTGAAAACTCTCCGTCTGCAACAGCACCAAGACACCGAGGACCCTAAGGTCCTGGCAACAGCAAACACATCAATAAACGCAACAGCCGCCAGCAGCTGCAGCCTGCACTCGAGATGCACACTTGATGCGTGACTCCGAAAGCCGCACGAGCTGTTTATAGAGCTTACCATCCGTCGCCCACCAACCCTTCCCGCAGCTTTGCTCCATTCGTAATGGCCACAAAATAAATGCCCGCAAGTAAATACTGTTGACTGCAGCCCCAAGACGATCCGCTCAAGAAATGTTAGCCAAGAAGAGAAATCAAGTCGCCAAAGTAGCAGCCAAAAGACCTTTTAAGTATGTGTGACAAAAATATATATATATAAATATAAAAAAAACGAAACGGTGTATATAAATATATATTTATGTATTGGTGCGTCTCGGTGTATATATCTTTACACTATGTGCGCCATACAGGTGCAATAAAATAAGATGAACACATCAGCTGCATTTGGTCAGGTGCACTCGTTAAAATGGACAGCCCCATATAGTACAATGGCCCACTCCCCAGCGTGGCCCGCGCCCAGTTGTTGCTGCTCACCTGCATCTGTTTATGACCTACACCAAGAGGGTTCAACTCGAAGTGGACTCTGCTCTGTGCCCTGTTGTTTGTGGCTGCTGCAGCGGATGCCTCAACTCGACTCTCGTTTGCTGAGGCACGGACACTCGCTCACAGCTCTCGTGCTGAGGGGTAACCGAGAGCAATATTGCCCATTATTCCCTGTATTTTTATAGTCTCGCGAAATAGTGGGATAAATATTCGCGAGTGGGGAGCAATAAACAGTTTTCGATATGTGGAGAAGCTACTTGAAGGAAGCTGAATTCGAATTAATCAAATGAAAGTTAATTATTTTTTAAGGAAATTATTTGTATTTTTCAAAAAGAAACATCTTCTCGGCTGAGACTACAGATAATCCCTAACGTATTGCTGGCTTGATATTGAGTTAAAGTAAATACGACGAAGTAAATTGTCCAAGCCATGAGAGTCGTCAGCATCTTTTTGTGTCTATAATAATACAGATTCAAATAGTCTGCTGAAACAGGTGTAATCAACAAGTTCCCATTATTTATATTTTCATATCCCCAAGTGCCATGGATTTTCTCCAATACTTGTAAATCTCTCTCTAACTCTCTTTCTCATGTTAGTCTCAGCTGCGCATGTCTGTCTCTGAGAGTCGAAAAATTCAAGCCGAACCATTTCGAAAAAGCGGGCAAAATGGCGCTTTAGCAAAACATTTGCTCGGCTAGAAGGAGAGAATGAGGGCGAGAGTGAGGGCGAGAGTGAGGGCTGCAGAGTGAGTTGGAGAGATAAAGAGCAAACTTTGATGCTCTTGTGAAATTTGCGTGTTGTCTTAAAAAGGACCTAAAATCAACCTGGCTGCTAGCTGTTGAGCAAAAGCCCAAAATTCGCGCTGAACCAAGGGGCATGGATATCTTAGCTATGATACATGTGCTATGACTGCAAGTGTGCGTATATGTGTGTGTGTTAAAGTTAAAGTTAGTAAATGGCATAGAAGCACGGCAACTATAGCAGCAACAGCGACTGCTAACTTGGCCCTAACGCATATGCTTCGCCCATAGACACACAGACACACTCAGATGCTTAGCCCAAATGCCTGACGTTCAGGCCGAGAGTGTGGCACGTGCGGATGTGCGCCGCCAGAAAGTATGCAACGTTTAGTATTCGTGGCATATTGTGGCTTCACCTTTGAGTCGCGCACTTGCTGAAACTTCAATGCATCTTCTTCAACTGCCGCCTCCTCGAACTCTGACAATCTAAGCAGTTTACTGTGTCAATATGCTGCACAGCTCTTCAAGCTCACAGGCAGCAGCCTGTCTACCCTCATCCCGTCTCAAATTCCCAATCCCCAACCTGGCGCATCCATAACTTATGCATGCAAATGCTCTCTTCTCTCGTTGTTGACTTCGAAAAGGTAAAAGACAAAAGCGACAAAAAACAGTTGAAACTAGAACAAAAATAGCAGAAGAGAAACGCTGCTGAAATTTGTGCAAAATGCGGTTATTGCAGCGATTATTTTAATGGCCCTTCTCAGTTACCGACAGAGTTGAGACTTTACGCACTTCTGAATTGCAGCCATTTTACTTTGCATTGCCGACATACTTAACACTTCACCAAAAAAAGAAAAGGGTCTTAAGTCTGACACTTTGCGGCATTTATGAACTATTAATTATAGCGACGAGTTCCCAGTACACTCGTAGACTGGTTCCACAAAGGCATTCGAATGAAATTTCGTAATAGTCTGGTAAGTAGAATACTCTGTTTCGCAAATGAGAAATCGATACGAACAACATATAAATCCGCTGAAAATTATGCCCATTGAAAACCAAATATCTGCAAATTAAAACTCCTAAATAAAGCTACATGAATAGGTAATCTAATTAGCCTACGGGCCAAATCAAATAATGACAGTTGAAAATGTTTGTCAAACTCTGCTTGTGGAATAGAATACTAGCGTATTTGCCCAATATATAAATAAATAATTCAACCCGCTGTCACAGCCCAAAAATTATTTCCACTAAATTAAACACGCGCATATTTTTGGCGGCTATGCTGAATGCTCCATATCAAGTATACGCCCCGCGATGAACTGCAAGTTTTCATTCCAGAAAAATGACACACAACTTCATGGCTCACACAAAGTTCATGAGCAATTTTCTTGAATATTTTCCATTTTCCTTTCTTTTCTTTTTAATTTACGCTAAATACTGCAGCGACATTTGAGGCGACACAACAGTCGCGCACAGCTGCAGTTACAGCTGCCACGCCCATTACTCAGGGGGACGCGGGGGCGCTGGCTGTTTATATTTTATTTGTTGGCAAAAATTGCATTCATGAATAATTCAGTGAAGTGAAAAATTTGCGTTCCCACTGCCTCACTTTATATTTATTTGGTTTTATTTTTTTAAGTTTTTGGAGTGGTATTTTTGCGAAGCATTTTTGGAAACTACAAGATGGAAATTATTTTTACTTTTGTGTGTGGCAACTTCCGTTGTGGGTGGGTGGCTGTCCGAAATGTTTTGTAATGTGTGGCGGCTATCAGCATTTTGGGTTAATATTTAATGTAAAAGACTGGCACGGCGGCCAACGCTGCGGTCGCGTTGATGATGCTCCCAAAACCGACACCCCAACACCCCAACACCTCAACACCGAACCACGCCCCCCGCGTTGACAAGTGGCTTGCTATGTAAATGTGTTTGCCCGGAAACGGAAACTGTTTATGCAGATCGAATATGCAGCGAACACTTGTACTCGCCTTGCTGGAATTTATGCTGCTGTTTGTGTCCACTTTTGGCATTTTTGCAAATGCATTCGCCGCTAACCAAAAGCGAAGACATTATAGAAATTATAATTGTAAAAATATACAATATTTCGCTGAGTGTACAATAACCTTATCACATTTTGCCGCATATCAATGGCAATATGCGGCGCAAGCTAAACAAATGTGCTTCGAAACAATTCCTAAAAAATAAAATCTGCATATATACAATCTTTAGTCATTGTCATTCCAAGATTTCATTTTATCGCCAATTGTTAAATATTTTGTTTAATGACAGCTGAGTAGCTGGCCAGCGTGCGATCCAAAATAAAGTATAACCAATGCTTAAACTGATTGTTTTATTCTGTTTATCAGATTACACGGCAACTATTTACATAGATCTTATTTTGTTGTCGTTACATTCAGTTCCTAACAGACAAATCAGTCAATTTTTCAGTTCTATGAAAAATCATGTGTCATGATGTACTGAAAGCGTGCGTTCTCCCGCGGCGTCAAGCGATAGAAATTGTGGCTCGTATGATTCAGTTCACTTTCATTGTGATATGGCGGCCATAAAGTAGTATAAGCCACAATACTAAAACGATAATTGAATATTTAAAAATTAGTGGAGGATAATTATGGGGCAGTGGCATGCCAATACCGTACTAAATAGGTGGCCTCACGAGCCGTTGGCTGATTATCGATTTGACTTCTGATCTCATGACCGAACTGTTTTTCGTATTTTTTGATGGAATTGTTATAGCGCTCCTTACAAACCATCGGACTGGGGTATAGATATACATTTTTATATATTAAAAGCGTGCCATAAGAATGGCAAAATGCACTACTCACAAAGGCACTCTGAAATTGGTATAACTTGGCTGTGCGTGTATTATTAGTGGTATTTTCGATTTGCGTGGCTTGTCGTCCGACCAATCGTATGGCTGTATATATTGTCTATCTTCTGGGTGGCGAATATACATACTGTCATAACGAGTCCGCGTGTCAACCGTGGGTACATCGAATTTGGGATTATCTGTTGAGCGCAAGGACCGATTACTTGATCCATGGCCGGTGGGTAAGCTTCGCCGTACAAAACGCGAAGAACGCATCCTCGCAGATGCAATTGTCATTTCGGACATAACGCTCTTCTCAAGCATGATTTCAAAAAAGTGTTTTAGTTTGTATTTTTTTTTTTTTTTTTGTGTTATTATAACTAGAGTAGTAGTTAACATGCACAATGTGGAATTAACGGAACACATCTTTAAGTCTCTTAACAATAACTTTTTAAACTGAAACTTTTTGACAGGCTTACTAAGTTTCTCATAATAGATTGTATTTAAAACATTTATTGGTTTAAAATGTGTGCTTTATTTATAGTTGCTGCCTGAACCATCTGCCCAAAGGGCTTATAAATATTTCATGCATCTTAAGTAGCCTCAAGCAGCGCTTCATATAAATATATGCGAATCATTCTGCCGTCGACTAGTAAAATCAATAAACTACTGTTAACCATAATGAAATTATCAACTATATATCACACACACAAACACACAGACACAAACACACGCGCGTAAACTCGCGGGCTAATGCCCACGCATGTGGCCCCGCCTACCCACACACAGTTTTGGAGCTCGACATTCTACGTTAAAATATGCAAAGTATTTTAACCGAAAACCTTTCAAAAGATTGCAGAGAATATTGTGATTGTGAGAGAATTTTGTCTGTGCTGTGTGTGTATATGCGTCTCTGTGTGTGTGTGTGTGCACATGGCATATGCGTAATTTTATTAAGCAGCAAACAATCTGCCTTTGTGTGTGCGGCATTGACTTGGCCCTTAAAATAAAGCCAACTCTGATGAAGTGCCGCCAAAACACCATTGAACATTTTTGTATTTCTTGGCAACTAACATGAGTTTTTATAGGCAATTCGTTTTTCGGTTAGTTGGTTACACAAAAATCGAAAACGAGCAGTTGAGATGAAATGGATAAAAATTAATTAAATATACAAAATATTTAACGTAAGTTAATTAAATAAAAAATAAGAAAATTAAATATGTCGTCTCAAAATAATAAAAACATCTTTTAACCAACCTTTATAATAATTTTAAACTCAATAATAATTATGAGGTGAAATATTAGGCATATGTATTTTAAATAACTACTATTTTCAAGCTAAGTAAAACGGATCTATAATTTCCATCATTAGTTTCAGAGCTAGAACCGTTTTCTTTAATTTCTAAATCTAAATTATTGCTTATGCACTGAGCCCATGGCAAATGCTTTGTGCTGTTAAGTATACCATTATTTCATGATTTAATTTCGGCAACCAATTTCAAGCTCTCTACATTTTCCTATTTGAGTTTAGTAAGAGTTGCGTCCAGACCCTGGACCGCCTTACCCGGCTTGCTGCTAAGCGCAACAGAATTTATGGTTTTAATCTTTTGGCTTCACATTTTTTTGCCTGCCAAAACACAGAGAGCGAGAGAAATGCCTGCAACAGAGTTCTCGCTGGCGTAGCCAATGCCAAATACGACCAGCACGGCCTACGACATGAGCCAAGCGCAAACTGTGAAGATTTTATGGCTCAAGGACGTGGCGCTAGCACACTTCAAGGATATGCCCGGCCCCTTGCTGCAACGTTGCGTGGATTTGGATTTGTGTTTTCATTATAAATGAGCAGCGATGAGACCTACGACCAGAATGGAGGCGTTAACCAAGGGGCGTGTTCGGCCCCAAAACATTCCGCCAAGCAAATAAAACTGCGTAAAAAACATAAGAGTCAAGCGAGCGGCCAGCAGATAAATCAAATTAAATGAAATGAAATAGTTGAGGATTTGAGGCTGCTGACAATGGAATCCCACTGCCATATTTGTGCTGCCAGTCCGCCAAATCCAAGTCTCCACAATGAATAACAAATGAAACAGTCGGCAGCGATTCAGGACCAGGAGAACGGCCTGGTATATATAAAGCGCCCACAACAACGGCAACAAACAACCCAAAACTGTCCCCAGACATTGTTGTCATCTTGTCTATTTATTCTCGCCGACCCAACGTATGCGTCTCCAGCGTAGGTCATGCCGTGTATCCTTGCCAAATCAGGCGTAAAGCGGCCGACAATCAATGTCCTTGGCGGCTGCCATACGCATGCCAACTATATAAAAGGATAACTCCGCCTGCTTTACTCCTGCCCGCATTGGGTCAATATATGCGGCACCAGCTGAGTGTATTAAAAACATCTGAATTACTATTAATCCGCATGGATCTGCACGAATATGCGAAAATATTATTGGCACAGTTATTGCTTTTTAATATTCCTGTTTACATATATAAGTTAAGCGTTACATTTCTTATTATTTTTAAATTAAGTATAATTACAATTATTTATTTAAACGGAATATCTAGAGCAAACAAATTTAGGTTCTCATATGAAAATGCAGCGTATTTAAAATAAGATAAATATATTATCTTTTATTTAGTAAAGGAAAATTGCATAAGCTGACTTCTTGCTGGCAATCGCAATAAATAGTATCATGAGCTGGCATAAATATTGACTAGGACAGTGGGACACCGAGGCCAAACTGGCGAAGAGCTTCAATATTGGACACGTGGCATACTTACGGGCAGTGCTTATGTGTTGCCCAGTACCAATTGGCCAGCACTTCATATCCTGTCGCTGAACAAACAGCAAGCGACACATTCTGGCACAGATAGTTGCCGCTCACCGTGCCCGCTTCCCCACAGGCAACCAAAAGGGCGAGGGAGGGAAAAGCAATACTCCAAATACACTGGCGAATATTAAACAAAATGGCAATTTTGTGTTGAATGTGAGAACATTTTTTGTTGAGTCGATTTTAATGGCAAACGAGACCGCAACTGCCCATCAAGAGGACATGCCGCAAGGACTTGCCAAAGCACTGCTGCCATCCGACCGCCGAAAATCAAATCAAATTGCACACTCAAGTTGCAGTTGCAAACAGGACGCCATCGCCAGAAATCAAAATCATGTACAAGCGCTACAACGAGCAAATAGAAAATTGTACAAACAGGCTGCAGGTGCCGCTGGGCAAGAAGAAGAACAACAACAACAACAACAATCACTACAAGGAAAGAAAATACGGCGAAGCGACGAGAAACGGAAATAAAATCAAGCAAATTGAATGCGATGAGTTGAACGTGGGAATACGTGCCAACAGCCACAACAACAGCAAGAACAACAACAAGGACTCCGATAACAACAATAACAACGATAAAAAAACCCAAAACTTGGCGATAAAAAACACTCGAGATCAACGGTAATTGCTGCTGACAAATCCACAGTTGCTAGCCAATACACAAGCTGCAGATAGACAGATACAAATACGCAGATACAAATACAGATGCAGAAATACAGATACAGATACTACTACAGTTACACGCACTGCCATAACAAACCTAAATGTCAAGACTGACGACAGCAACCTGCACCTTATCCCCGTTGCCCCCCTTGCCAATCGCTCTGACCCGTAAAAAAGAAAAACTATAGCCGGACAATTCGCAATTGTCAGACTCTGTCGCATCCGCGTCCTCATTCGGAATCTATTTGTGGCAGCTCCCACTCCTCCAAACTCGCCTCCCCCTTCTCGCACCGTGCCTATTGTCGCATTTTAGGCGCTTCCGCTGCCACTCACTTTCTGTCTGTCTATTGCCATACATCTGCCATCAGGAGTGGGCGGGTAGGGTGTACAAATTTCGAAATGCTTTGGCTTTTTGGGGGTTTCGGTCTTTGGGTTCTTCAGCAGCATATTGCCATACGAGCCACAGCAGCTGCCATTTGCATAGTTTCTCGCCGCTGTGTTAATGTCAAGCTTTTGGCCAGCTATCTGAATTGTTTACCTTTTCAATTGGAATCGCGTCGCATTGCACGAAAATCGGCCATTCCCATCACTCTAGACAACAGATTGAGCCCAGAGATTGCATTAACTAACCTTAATTGTGGTTGAGTTCTGGCATTTTAGTCCGTCCAATCCATACGCTTAAGTAACTTTGCAAAGCATGATATGAGAGAAAACCAATTGATTTCTCTTCTTTTTTATTATTTAAATTTAAGTAAGGTGAAACACAAGTTAAACGTGATTTTTATTGTTGCCCTATTTGTAAAAGATTCAATTTGCAGCCTCATACATCTTATGAAAGCAGATCAGATATTTTTATTAAGTTTTTGTGTATGCTACCCCATTATTATTATATTTAATTATATTATAGCAATTAAATTAGAAACAATTACAACAATTATAATTAATTATTAAATGAAAATTATTTGTCTAATAATGATTTAAAAATATAATTTTGTTGTCGATTTGGAAGAATATATTGATTAACAATCCTTTTTAAATATTTGTTGTTTAAAAAACATGTTTTCTATATTTAATATTTATAAAGTCTTAGAAGTGAAAAAATCGAAGCCCCTCAATTTGTTTACATTTTATTAATTTGTTAATGTTAACATGACCTTACAGTTAAATTAATTTAATTAAATCTTTCATGCTGCCATTTTTAAAGTTTCCTTAATTTAAACGTCAAGATACGTTTTTTAATGGTAGCTTTTGGCGTTTTAGCTGCTTTGATGTTCACAAAAAAATGTATCTCAATCTTTCCAGCGGAATTTGTTGCAATTTTTTGCCATTGCTGTTGGTATTTTTGGGGAATTGTGTTACTTAGTGCCCGTCAGGTAAGCCGTAAATACTTGAAACGTGCGTGAAAGTGGGCAATAGATAACTATTCCGCACCAGATGTAGTTCTTTGGCGGCTGGAACTGCCAACTGCATAATGAGAGGCGCTGCGGTTATTTATGCTTTAAAAGCGGGCCTCCAAGTATTGGGCTCCGCACACAGTTCACAGTTCAATGGCCATAAACATGTCCAGCGTTAGCTGAGACGTGATTACTGGCAGACGTGCGGCCAAATAGATCCAAAGCAAACAAATGCCCCGCAATACACAGACGTGACAGGGCCAAAATGTGCGACTATTGCTATATTAAGAGCCCGCCGAATGGCATATTTAGCCGGACAACAACGCACTTTTCGGTTACTCGCAAGTTGTTTCTGCCCAATGGCCCGAAATGACGAAATGACGAGAATGATTATTGTGACTATTTTATGGCAATTTGTCTGGTTGATTCTTGATGTCGACCTGCAGTTCAATGACAACAAGCACTAAGGTCAAGGACTTAACCTTG